TGTTCAAATATGTACAACATTACTTTTGTTATATCGAAGGTTTGGATTATTTGCGTTTGTCGATTTGAGATCAATTGAATATTGATGAATATTAATACTAAATATATACATTAAAATATGATGTAATCATTAATTATTATATCGAATCAAAAAAAAGGTTTTAAATAAATTCGTGATGAGACAATTAAACATAGCTAAAGACTCATTCAGCTATGAATCTATCAACAGTGCGCAGAAAGTGCGGAAAACTAAGACACGAATTACATACATTTTTTGTGAGTTTTAAAAACCTGGCGAAGTAATTTAGTTTAAATTAACATACATATTGTAATAAGTTACTTTTATTATAATATTACATCAATTCCAAATGTTCAGGTCTCTTACTTAAGCGAAATAATTCAAAAGAAAACTTCTTAATACGATGTAGGGATGAAAATGTTGTATAAAGCTGGCCGAAACCAACAGGAAAAATATGAATCAGAATTATTCCTTAAATGACGTCATGCGAAAAGACCCAGTCAAAAATACGATTGAAAAAGCGTTTCGAATACACGTGAAAAAAACAACAAATGGCTTATTAATTCAATAAAATGAAACTAAATTTAAATCATACGAAAACATTTGGCAATGTAGTTATTCGTAAGTTTTCGTCTTTTTCTGTCGCCCTATTTATGAGTGAAGATTCAACTCCAAAAATCAGACATCAATAGTGTTACTTAGTTCTTTATGAGTGCAAAGAAACGAATATGTCATAAACGCCAAGTCGTCGTGGCCTAAAGGATAAGACGTCCGGTGCATTCGTATGTAGCGATGCACCGGTGTTCGAATGCCAGGCGGGTACCAATTTTTCTAATGAAATACGTACTCATCAAACGTTCACGATTGACTTCCACGGTGAAGGAATAACATCGTGTAATAAAAATGAAACCCGCAAAAATTTTTATTTGCGTAATTACTAGTGGTACAACCTCTTGTGAGTCCGCATGGGTAGGTACCACCACCCTACCTATTTCTGCCGTGAAGCAGTAATGCGTTTCGGTTTGAAGGGTGGAGTAGCCAGTGTAACTCTACTTGAGACCTTAGAACTTATATCTCAAGGTGGGTGGCGCATTTAAGTTATAGATGTCTATGGGCTCTAGTAATCACTTAACACCAGGTGGATCGTGAGCTCGTCCACTCGGATGCTTAGATAAGCAATAAATAAATAAAAAATCTACAAATCTATTCAGTTATATAAAAGTCACTAGACATTTTTGTTTTGATATACGGGAACTCCTTAGCCCGATATTCAAATGTCGACGTTTTTTTTTAAATTTTCTGAGTTAACGAATAATAAATATCTTAGACATTTGTGACGATAGAAACTGTAAATTATTCGAATTATGCGAAATAATAAAAAGAAAATTAATAGACGCGAGCTTAAATCGTAAAAGTCGTTTTAATTAAAACACTAGTTTAAAGCTTATAAGTTACGTAGAACTCAATTCAGAATGTACTAAAGGCTGTGGCGTCAATTTTATAGTCTTTAATTATGGCTGTGGTCCAAAACCAACCAGAATACCTCAACAAGTATTTCAATAACCCACGGTATAAAAGAATTATGTAATTTGAATCTACATATTTTGCATGATTCCGTCCATATGTAAGTCAATATCGTGTTTGTTACTCAAAATATATTTTTCGTTTTTCCCTCGAGTTAATAAACACCTCATATTCTTCAAGGTAGCTGTAATACTGGAAATTTAAATAAAATATTTTTCCTTCCTGTTTTTTTATATATATTTTTAGGTACAGTTTTGCTTTTAATGTATTATTAAAAAACCAGTCAAATAAAAAATATTATTTTTTGGTTGATCCAGACACTTTTAAATTCTCAAGACTTTAATTACGATTGTGAGTCCGAATGAGTTCACATTCCAATCTGAATAGTACAAAGGTCATTAAATAGGCCGTTGGTATTATAAAAAAATTTAAATTTAGAACTCATGACACAAGGTAGGAAGCATTTGCGTTGTTGATGTCTGTAGGCTCCAATAACCCCTTAACACCGGGTGCGCCGTGAGCTCGTCTACCCATCTTGGCAATAAAAAATAATAATAATTATATGGAACACTTCAGAATGAATAAATGATAAAGAACTTAATTCTTGTGAAGTGTAATAAGAAAACAACATTTAAAGTCCTTAATTTCTTTTAAAATTAATATAAAAAATTAAACAGTATTATTATACTAAAATTTTGCTCTCTTTCCACTGAATGCCAGACAGGTGAGTGATTCCGTCTAAGAAAAATCTTTTTTTAAAACTAAAGAGTTCTAAAAAGGTTTTAAATGATAAAAAGATTTTCTTTACATATATAGTTCACGCCGAATATAATGGTTCATTCCATTGTTTTCAATCACAGTGCGTTTCCCAAGATTATTTCTCCAGCATACTCATATTAGATTAGATATACTCATAATACACATATTAGACTCTAAAATGAACTCCGCTCCATGATGTTTCTCGAGCGCTATGAGGTTTGGTCGTGTCTTTTGCTGATATCCATGAGCCATGGTGAGCACTCATCATCAGATGGACTAAGCAGTGTGTCTGAATTAATTTCATTCGCAAAGACCGGACACATATAACCATATTTTGAACTATATAGTTACGTATTTTAAGCAGACACATATAAAACATACACATTTTATTCGTGTTTTATGGTCAGATAATCTTACCCTGATAGAATAATCAATACCCAGCCACTACTGCTCTTTTAGTAGTTTAGAGAATAAATTATCTGTACAGCAGTATTCTTTGCGTAATCTTCTGCCTCCCGAAATACCACTATCATACCAATCTTCGTCGCATAGCAATCATTCATTGGAGTCATTCACTCAGTTTGGAGACTGAGAAAGTTTGCACAATATAATTGAGATTACCGCCTCATGTCTGAATGTGGACAGTGGCACTTTATGTTTGGTCTGCGGCGTCTACGTAATCAAAAGATTGCCAAAATATTAGGTTTGCCGAACTGCCGAATTACTTATAGCGTCATTGCTTATAACGTGTGAGGTCCTTTAACTAAAACCTCTTGCTTGTATAACTTATCAAATCATCAATTTTTTTTTTTTTATTGAGGCATATTTCAGGAAAAAAAACATAAAATTTTAGGTAAGATGAAAACTCGTAAAGGTAAAATAAAATAACCACAACTATGGATCACAATATAGTATATTCATATTAGCTTACCTTGAGCTACATATTTTTATTATTTACAAATTTGTTCTTAATACCTACAAACATATTTAACAATAAGCAACAATGTTACTGCACACCGTGACCATACAAAATTATTCATGTTTACTAAATAATAATACATTTATTCAGTTTATGTTTAATAGAAGGATTACCGCGATTTTTTTTGATAAAACAAAATTAGCTTTTTTACTATTGCTTTTCACAAAGCCACTTTATGTACAAAAAAAAAAAACTAATGCTAAAAATTGTATAAATTTTTGTTATAAGCCGGATGGGAAGTGGGCATTACGTCGCACGGAAACCTTGACCTTATAACATTACTTCTGGCTGTAAAAGAGAAACAAAAAAGTAAAATCCTGATATACGTCAGTAGATTGCTCCGATTTTTTATAATCTTGAAATCGCTGTACAGCTAGGATTTTGGATACAAAAAAATTTAGTTCATTAGCTTTCCGTCAAAATATAGATTTAAGTGAATTCATTGTGAATTCTTTTTAGTTTTTATTTATTAATCTTCTAGGCAAACGGATATAGGGCCCACATGATGGCCAGTGGTTATCGTCATTTACGGACGTCAGTGACGCCAAGGGTAGAGCCAAGCCACTGTCTACTGCGACTTACAGTACCTTTTTTTTCTTTTTTGCACAATAATGGCTAGACGAGCTTACCGTCTACCTGGTGTTAAGTGGTTGGCAGAGCCTATCATCGCAGACATCACACCGCGAAAGCCCTTTTCCAACTTGGAACGTAAGGTCGAACCTAAATAGTATTTCTTAGCCTGTTTCGGCATACTCTGTATAAATTTATAATTTTGCCGCCACTAACAATTTCAATACATTAATATGACTTATTTTAAAGCAATTATTTTCAAGCAATATACACAATTGATGGAATATAAAATGTTTTATGAGTTAATTCACAACCAACCACATTGCAATAGGGATCGCACAGTCAAACTCATTGATAGTAGTTTTTTAAGCAGCCCATAATTAATACTATTGTAAAGCATTGCTATTTCAGAAAAATGTTTATAAGCGATCATTTCTTCGGCGCTATTTGTCTAATTTAGCCAATAGATCGACAGTACGGTGCCCAAATTGATTAAAAATAGGTCCTGGTTTTTTATTTTATTTTAAGAATTAGTGACGATTTATCGTTCTGAAACTGCGTCCGTGACTAGCCTTCGTAAACTAGGAAAATATATAAACGAACAACACAAATATTTCATATTTTATTTTTCACACAATTCGTAAAATTATCATAATTTTAACACTTTCCCCGAATTCATTTAAGAATATCATACATACACAGTAAGCCAACAATATTTCAAAATAATATTTTCGATTTTATATGCAAAACAAGTATATAACAACTTTAGGTTCCTAATTTATGTAGTAATTTTAGGTAAATATTTTTAACTGTACAGTATCAATACCTATCATATAGGCTTAATAAACTAAAAATGCAGTGTTATTCTTATGTATGCATCTAATGTATTTGCTGAAATAAACAGAGTTTCCAATAAAAGAGGAGGTAATGAATGAATATTCTAATGATGTAGTATGTATTACGGACAGACACCTTTGAAGTTTTTCGTAGAGGAGGTGAAATTTGAAAATTAAATGCAAAGACGGGACTCATACAAAGAAACGTATAGACACGACGCCACCTTGCTTCCCACACGCCCGCATCACGCCACGTCACGCCAGTCGTCTGCTACGTCACGCTCTTTGTAATATGTATTTCTAAGGTGTTTTCACCTCATGATATGCGTGTCATTTACGCTATTTTGAATTATACTATGATTGTTAAATAGGGCATGATTGTTAAATAAAATAAGCAAATCGGTCTGCAAAATAAGAAATTTGATAATTGAGCGCTGTATTATGTAGAATGTTGCCAGTAAAAAATTACTAATAAATAAATATTTTAGGAGTTCGTCATTACTGGTGGAAGTGATTGAAATGTTTTACTTTTTACTTTAAAATGTTTTCAATAGTTCACCTGTTCAATTCATTTAGGAGAATATTAAACAATTCGTTTAAAATATATCAGTTGATTTGTTATTTTTAAAATTATGTTACAATAACGGTGTATACACAGTATTTTTTGCTGAGTACAAAAAAAAATAGTTCCTGATTCTAAGCGCTATTTATAATATTTTGGTGTAGGTAAATGAAATTATAAAAATTAATCGAAGGGATCGCGTTCTCATTCTCTTAGTATCATTGGCTACTTGATAAGTTTCAATAATAATTGCTCATTAAGTAACCGATCCAACTCTATACATATATTTTTCGATATGATCAGTTTCTATTAGTTATCACCATGAGAACCAGGCTTAAGTATAGTAGGAAATACATTGAGAATACGATATGTGCTCGATCCAATTATGTTCATATATTAGGATATCGCGTGAGTACATTTGTGCATTTGAGTACAAATGTACATTTTTTAACAAAAAATATATTGAATATCACCACCGAACTATGATGAATAGACTCATAGTAGGTATAAGACAGAATTTCAATTTGAACAACATCACATAAAGCCTCTTGAAGTCCCACGGATCTAAGAAATTTTGATATAAATACTGAAAAGGCACATAAATTATATAAATAAAAACACCATTACGCACTTTGGTAAGCTAATAAATCTTTGGAACTTACTTGAGGTGGCAACTCCAATGGCACATTCATCACAATAAAAAAAAAACATGAAATAACCGACTTCAAAATGCAAGGAATCCTTTGTTTTAATTTTTAGACACTAAGTGAGAAACTGGTATGGAAGCTTTTAGCTGACAGAAAAAAATATAACATTAAAATGGAAAATACCGAACACTAATTATGTTCGCGATTTTTAAAACGTTATTGCTTTATAATTGATAAGTGGTTTATTTCATAATGAAGGGAAGCTTTTAGCCGAAATTTTGGTCACCAGGATCGACATTCCATTGTATCAATCAGAAAAGCGTTAAATGAGTGTGAAAATATTTAATTGATTCGATGCAGAACTAATCGGTCTTGCGGAAAATTGTTTATAAATTATAATAATGTTTGAATAAAATAAAGAGGATGATAGTATTAATGAGATTTTTATTTTGAATACATATGAAACAGTAAAAAAAACAGAACTACATTTTGAAGTCGGTCTGTTTTATTGTTTATAAAGTATAGTGTATGTTCAGTGATTTCTCCATATTAATTTTGAAGCGTATTTAAACAAAGTCCACGTGTAATCGTGTTGGTAGCGTTTGTAGTAATGTAGCACTGAATATTAGTAAACAGTGGGTTAGCTGAAGCGCGGGAGCAGAGCCCCCTAATTTTCCTGCTGCTTGGACGCGATCAGCTCGGGAAGCACCCTCGGTCAGCTCCCGAGACCTAGAATAACCTTTCAGTTTCTCTCCCTGAACACTCTCCTCATTGCTTCTCCAGTATACCGTTGCTATTGTTGCTAGACACTGCAATAGAGAACAATTTTAGTTCGATTAAAATACATATTCTGAATTACGAATTTGTGTACTGTTTTTTAAGCAGTTGAAGTTGTGAAGATGCTTTGTGTTATATTCCAATTATACCAATCTTTCACGTCGCCGTAAAATATGAAATGTCTATTTTGGCATTAACATTTCTCGCAATGAATTACACATTAATTTAGTTATATCGGACCTTCGTTATGCGAATCGATCGAAACAAAAGGACTAATCAACAAACAAAAAATATTTCTTCAATTAAAGCTAAGTATTTTCAAAATTGATCTTATATGTATATGTTAGCGGTCTATACTGAAAATATTATTGACATATAAAAAATTTATTAAGACTGTTGAATACTAATTCAATTTATTCCCAAACTGAACAAGCAGAATAATGCTAGTGTCATATTGGCCATTTGTGTAACAACGGCACAAGTAACAACTATACCAAACTTCAGTTCAATTATAAAATAGTTTTGAAACTACTGTACAAGCCATTTTGCAAATCCGTTGTCTGAAAACTTAGGGAATAACATTAAATATTTTAAGAGTTATTTTTTGTGAAGGAAATGATCCAATTCAATTCTCAATACTTTGACCAGTGTGTGTTGCCACTAATGTCACACGACAGTGTGAAGTGGTTGCTCACAGTGGACCTTACCAGAAAGCTCAAAATCACTTAAAGAGCAATGGAGAGGTCTAAGAGTGGAATGGAGAGCTCGGAGTTTCCCTGCGAGATTGAATAAGGAATGAGGAGATTCGCAGAAGAACCAAGGAAACTGAAATAGCGCGAAGAATTGCGAGGTTGAATAGGCTGTGAGCAAGTCACATTTCTCGAAGAACAGATTTCCACTGGAGTCGAAAAGTACATCGACAACGTGCAAAAGGTCACGGGAATCCGCTAGATGCGGGCTGCCCAAGGCCGATTATTTTGGCCAAACTGGAAAGAGGCAGCAATAGACGTCCGTGGACGATGATGATGATGATGATGAAAGGAAATCAAGCGAGGTGTTATACCTAAATAGTAGTTTAGCTTATCATTTCATCGTTGACATTAGTTAATCATATTACATTGAATAGCAATGAAACTTCAGCCGCCTTCTTTTATGAGCTCTTTACTTTTTATTAAGTTAGTTAAAAAATTGGGTCAAAGGTTATTTTAGGCTATTTTAGTCGGCAAGATTGTATAATATTTCAGATTCTACACTATGTACTTTTGATATTGATTCAAGATTTTTACAGAATTATCTCACCGTGAATTGAAATAGTAGCTAACCAATTCAAATTATTGTATATGTATATCAGTGAAATCATAATCATTTGCAAAACACACAAACATGTTTATTTTGATTTGATTTGATTTGATTGGATGTGAAAATATTTTAAACATTAATTTTTTTCTCTAAATTACTGATAGTGAGGTGGGAGATCAAACTAATCGAAAAACTATCAGTATTTTACAAACAAGATAAATTTAAAAGGTTTTCATGGCACCTCGGTAGACAGCGGCTTGGAGTTGCTGACGTCCATGGGCAACGGTAACCACTCACTATCAGGTGGGCCGGATGCTTGTATTCAAACTTGTATTAAGCAATATCATTCAGAAAAAATCGATATTCATGTCCATAAACTATTAATATTAGATCATTTTCGTCTGCAAACTTCTTACTAGACGGCTTTGCCTCAGCTTCTTCATCAGTAATTATGTCAAACTTGTCTCTAACAACTGCTTCATTGTTAGCAAATTCAGATTTTCCTGGAAAGTTATTTCTTTGTCTATTATTTTCTTCTGATGTTAACGTCAACAATTTTACTCATGATTGTATTTTAGATGTTTCGATTAAATTTTAGAGACAGTGATATTTCAATGATATAGTCCTACCGAATTTCGAAAGCTCTTTACTAAATTTATTCAAAGGAGTACAGAAACTAATTCGAAGTAAATTTGTTAGTTTATATTTGGTATCAATTTAGATTACGTTTAGATCTAAGAAAACAACTTAAATCAGTTATTTTTGGATATACGATTTTTTGAATTCTTTTCTAATTATTGTTCATGCTGCAACAGCAACAGTCCTGATTTAGCACATATTTTTTTGTAAAGTTTTCTTGTTATGGGCAGTACGCTCCTATTTGTGGAATTATTGTAGGGCTTTCACGCATCTTTTACACTGCCCATTTTTGAACTGCCCATTGTGTACACAAAACGTAATCGAAAATCAGCTGACGCACGGTGTTAACGACCTCGTGTGACGAGTCCTCCCGGGTGCATCAGCCACTTTTGCTTCAGATTGCGTTTTCGTGAAAAATCAAATCCCTGAAGCGATAACTATTTACGATCAACTTTAAGAAGGTTTAGTGTTTTCCGATTGAGGATGAATATTTTATTAGTTTTTCCGTAGGTAATGTTTACCTCTGATATCTTATTTGAAAAATTGACACAATGGAAAATTTTAAATTTACGCTATATATTATATGTTTGTTCTTTTTCGTTTATTTTTACTACCCGTGATGTGATTATAACAATTTCGTAAAAAAAATTAAACTTATCATAACACAAATAAAATTAAAACTTTATTGCAACCCGAATTAAAGTGATCAAATTAAATTATTGTATGGGTCCGGTCTTTGGTACGTATATGTAAGTTTTCAAGTTAATCGAATATCTTGAAGTTGGCGTAACTTATGTTAAGTCACACTATCTAGGTAGATACATAAAGCATAGATAATACACATAAATTAGTTATAGCTATGCAACTCAAGAACTCAACAAAAATGTTTACGGGCGTCAGCCACTAGATGGCTTCATTTCGATTAGTCTCTCATTGCTCCTGTAGATGGTAGTAACATATTACCTATCCTATATTTGATTTCTAATGAAGGATTTTGTAAATTTTCAGAAACCACAAATTGATAAAGTTTAATTAATTCGCCTATAAAAATAAATACTTGCATTATTTTTTATTTTCCGTGTTTACAATAGTTATACACTAATGAAATGCCTTAACAACATACAAGTTTAGGGACATCCGCTACAAGATGTCGCTAGTTTTCATACAGAAAACATATTTGTTTTAAAGTATCGCAGTTTCCGGGCCCTGACATAAAGGACAAGCTAAAACTTTGTCAAATAAAACAGTATTTTTAACGCTGTAGACGGGACGACGAGAGCATGGGCAATGAGCAAAACTTTTGGTCTATTTATCTAATGGGATAGTAATAAAAATACATACTTTTAATTTTAAGTCTCCTTTCCTAAAATGCTTTGATTTCACTTTGAAATCGAGCCCCAAACTGGTCGTCTCCAATCCGTCGCTATGAACTTGGTGGGTTGGAGTCAGTAAGGCGGCGGTAGGCGCCGGCTCTCCGTTGATGTACCAAGCGAGCCTGGTGGCGGGCCTGGACCGACCTGACGTGCAGTTCACCTGCACCCGGTCGCCGATTTGATACCGGATTTTTGATCCAGTTATCGTAGGTCCCTGGTCTGGTAACGCTGTTTGAAAATGTAAATTGGTTAATTAATCTCTATATATAAAAATGAATTGCTTTTCGTTAGTCTCGCTAAAACTCGAGAACGGCTGAACCGATTTGGGTAATTTTGGTCTTGAATTATTTGTGGAAGTCCAGAGAAGATTTGAAAGGTAGATAAATATGAAAATATATGAATTAAATAAAAATAACAATTTTGTTTTTCCTTTGATGTGTCCCCCGTCGGTCTTTTATTTATCGATTGAGGCACTACGAAGTCTGCCGGGTCAGCTAGTTAATTATGAAAAAAGACTATAAATGAATAGAATGCGCCGAAGTACAAACAGTGATAAATAAAATATACGATCATAGATACCACTTTACGCAGCCGATGTACCGATATAAAATATGTAGGTACAACAAAGACCTAAGCGTTATACAATTTTGGGAGTCAATTCTGTTGTCAATTGAGAGTCAATTTTATTGTGTTCAAGTTTTTTAATCAGTGACGATGCTTACAGTGTCGTGTAATAAATAGTAGGTAGCTATACATATGAATGTTTTGTAGTGATGAAATTTTTATTCCAAGTCGAAATGTGATTATACTTATATAATGAAAAAAAAAGAAGATTCTCATTCTCAGAAGATCATTTTTATTTTAGTAATTCCAAATGTATTTAAAAAATTTCATCATTCTACACTAGATTTTCGCAATATTTGGGAACATGAAAAAAAAAAACATTTGACTTTTTTTGTAAGAGATTTTGCTGGTTGAATATGGTTTTAAGTCAACAATGCTATTTCTCAGAGCAGTAAGTACAGAAAAGTGCCAATATCATTTTTTTTTAAGTTTAAGCCTCATTGAATATTAAAACCATGGTAAGAACCCGTTAAATAATACTACAGTTTTACAATCCATACAGTTTGGAAACGAACGTAGTTGCGTAGAGTAAAATTGGGGATTCGGAGAAGCGGCGGGCGACGCGAATCGCGGCCCCCAAACTCGCTTACTTTGCGCACTCAAACGCTGAGGGCAGACGTTATCGTGTATGTACATCGTACTCATCCATTTCGCATTTAATGCTATTATCCAGATGTGTGATGATTTAAAGAAAGAGCCTATTTTTGCTCAATTTTAAATACTGACGTGTAGGCTGAATAATCGGCCATCTAGAAATTATGTTCGGCAAAATACAGCAAACAAACACAAAAAAATACAGTGGGATTTGCAGAGAACCAAGTTTTAATAAGATCCAGCGAGTATTCCGGATTTTTTTTTGTGTCAAATATTTTAATTATGTTGTGAAGCTGACGTAATGACGATTTTGACAATGTTTTATCATGATAAAGAGATTTTACACAAGATAAATCAATGCTTACACATACTGGCGTGGTAAACAGTTCAACCACAGAAATCTTATTCAACTAATTTTGATATTCCTGAGAAGGATCGTTTCTTGTATATTTGGAGTTCTATGTTGAAGCGTTGCGTACATAAACACAAATGTTTATCAGAAAGATTCTTTATCATTTAACGACATAACCACAAGTATTTTTACTTACGTGCAGACAGTACTTTACGTGGTCCTTTTAGCGGGCTACAATTACCTCCAATTAATTTTGTTGACCTAGCCTAACCTAACTACGGACACCCATTTTAGGCAGAAATTCCATTTGTTGGAAACAATATTTAAATGAAATTATTTAACATATTAAGTAAAGATAAATTTAATCCACAGCGACCACAGCTATGCTCACGTTTCCCTCAAGCTTTTATGATAAAATTGTTCATCCGAATGTGAATATTGAATTGATTTTGAAAATTCGTATTTCATACTAAAAATCTGGAAACATCTAAAAATAAAGTGTCACGTAAATACCTTGCGGTACAACACATGTCAATGTAATATGATAAAAAAATATATGAAAAGTTTATAAGTTACTTGTAAATTTTGATGGACAATATTGAGTGATTGCATAATAATTACAGTTATTTTATTTTTATATTTAAACATCCCTTGCACATTTGCGAATGATAGACTAAGTACCTACACGGGCCGCGGTGTCGTTCGACATCAAAGGCGTTTCTCCAGTGTATGAGTTGTAAAACTGTGATCATTTACTGTGTTTAAAGTACATTTTGTATGCGAAGAGCTCACTGTAAACTAGTACAGACATCAATGATTGCCATAATAAATGTAAGGTCTTATACCAACATTTATTTAATTGGTAGTGGACATCATTGTAATTAGAATCCTCATCATTAGAAGTATATAAATACATTTCTGTTAAATTTAAAAGTTACATTATTTTTTAATTGCTTAGATGGGTGAACGTGCTCACAGCCCTCGGTGTTAAGCGGTTACTGGAACCCATAGACATCTATAAGTTAAATGGGCCACCCACCGTGAGATATAAGTTCTAAGGTCTCAAGTATAGTTACAACGGCTGCCCCACTCTTCAAATCGAAACGCATTACTGCTTCACGGCAGAAATACGCAGGGTAGTGGTACCTACCCGTGCGGATTCACAAGAGGTCCTACCACCAGTAAATTTGAGTTTAACATAACCATTTGAATTTAACCGTGAAATTGGAGTTCACTGTAAACCTAAAAAATTGGTTGGAAAATATAGTTTCATACTGCATCCTCTAGCTTCTATGGTTAGATAATTGACTTCGCGATTTTTTTATTTCTCTTGTTCTCCACTCCAGTTCTCCACTTCAAACACAAGTTTTGATCGTATCTCTTGCACCACGCTCCGAGAGAGACTCTACAAGGTAGGTAGCAAAATTCATGTTGTGTTTTTGGATGTAAGAACCGTGGTTTGTCCCGAGATCTCTGCCGCTTAGTCCGGACAAATGGGCGATCTCCAGTGCCATCCATGTAGTAGTAGGTTTGCTAAAAATTGCACGAGCATCCTGCAAAGGTCTAGCAGCTCAAAGGCTGCAGTTACGTAACTGCGTCTACCACTGGATCGGAAACGCTAGCTAATAGTTTTGTGAATTTTAAAGTGTTTGTCTCATTAGATCGGTATGAATTTGATTGATTGATTAATTAAAAATTCTTTATAACACAAAAATATTGTACAACTTAGCACCATGCAGGCATTCTCTTCCAGTTAACCCCCGTTTGTGAAATGAAAGATTCAAGAAGCGCGTAGCTGTGATAAAGCTAATAGGTACATGGCGATAATTTAAAGAATTATAGTAGGCATGAGTAAAAATAAATACTAGGTTATAACTACATTACCAAAAATAAATACAAATATACATACATACAAAATACGTAAATAAAAAATAAGATTATTTTATTAGAGGAAATAGAAACATTCTTATGCAATCAATTGTGCGTATAGTTGATATAATCTGTTGTAATTATTGCAACGAGTCGTGTTGCCTATACTCTGTTCCGTACATAATTAAAACGGGTTCGGCCAAGACAAGAGTTTACCTATATGAACGGCGATTTAAAAACAAATCTACTTAAACTCCATGTCGTAACATTTACTCTAAAACATACAATGAGCAAAAATAATTCAAAAATAGTACAAAAAAATATAGATGTTAAATTATTCATTGGAAAACAAAGGTAATACTCTATAGTCGCTATGCGCTGCCAATAGATTGTTTCTTACTTTCTATTTATGAGATCAAGAACTAATCGATTAGATGTATTTCATTAAATTAATATAAAAATAAGGTTATGTTTTATTGTACACGAAACGAAACAAAAATAGTGATATTTTATGAAGTACATTGAGTGGCTTTATCGATAATACTAATTGGATGAACGCCTTCTTAACTTGAACACCATTTTGAAATCAAATTTTATACGTATGTGACGGTGCCTCTTTGGGAGATCCCAAAAGATAACCTTTAGTAATCTATATTCTATAATTTTATATTTGGATTTCGTGTTCCCGCTTCTCTCGGTATAACATACAAAATTAATAAAAATATCTGAATTTCAATTAAAAATGCCTTTGCATTGCTATCATATCATACCAGAGCTTTCGTTAGCACTAAATGCTCGCCATCCGTTCGCCGCTGAGAAATCATTAGGGAACTCTACCACTGGAGAGGAATAGGACTTGGAGAACAACAACTTCAACGCTCCGCCAAAATATCCTTACTGGCTGCGCATCGCGTTGCGTAATATAGTAAATGTCTGGATTTTTTTTGATGGTCTTTTATTTAGAGAGAGAGAGAGAGAGAGAGAATACACTTTATTGCACACCAACACAATTTACATTCAAAAAAACAGTCATAAAGTATTTACTCTATGCGAAGCGTGTTTACAGTTTATCTTTGTTTTTAGATATTTTTTAATTATTGTTGAAATCCAAATAGATGGAGAAAATAAACAAATTATAGAAATTCTCGATTCGTTATTTTATTATAACTTTTTTGTGTAGTTTCCTTATTTTTTTAGTTTGTTTGTTGAATAAATATTATTTGAGAATTACAAGTACAATCGTTACATTTGAGTATATCTACAAGCCATATCGATTATGCGTACTTTTGACACATGAAAACAACACATTTGCCAGAAGTCAAGACAATTCATAGCAAAAATGTCTTTAGTGCTCACAAAATAAGGCAGGTTTTCTTGCGTGCAAACTATTGCGCGTGAAATGTGAATACACTTAATTACTCAGTTCCCAGTTTCATGTAATTTACTAATGTGTCCATCAAATTCAATTCGACATTGGTTTTTGCATTGTCGTGTAATGTTTTGTTCATAATAGTTTTTGTAGCCCTCGCAAACAATTTACTAATTTCACAAAAAGGTTCCTGCGCTTTCCAAGTTATTAACTAGTTAAATGGTAAGGTAGCAAATGAAAAAGGTGAATTTGCAACAAATTATTTAAGTGTGAAAGAAACTTTGCTTTTTTTTTATTAGATTCGCACAGCTGAATAAAAATATGCACACATAAACATTGAACTAATTTAGAGAAAAAAAAGAAAAAAAACATTATAGAATTCACCCTTTTGGGTGTGAACACACATCTTGCTTAAGAGCGTTTGTGGATAAGATAAAAATATCGATAACTAATTTCTAGATTCTGTAGATTTAAACTCTTGAATGTTTACCGATTGCGAGCGGTTGCGTATGTACGACTCGCACCATCTAAGTAACGATCCATGGATACCCAGTTCTGATTAACTAAGTCAAACGCCTTTCTGAATTTAGTGTAGACAGAGTGCACATCGCCACGTCCGTCCATAGTATCAATTATACGAAATGAGTTATCAGTTTTTTATTAACTATGCCTTCCTTGCCAAACCCAGACAGTATGGAGACAGGTCGATATTGGGCAATATCATCCAGCCTCCCATCCTTGTGGGTCGGGGTTAAATGCGCTAATTCCCACTGAGTGGGGTAAGCCCCACTTTTGAGAGATTTGGTATAAATTTTGGCTAGAGGTTTATATGAACTTAGAGCACATTTTTTATGAATATAGGAGATATTAAATCAGGGCCAGGCCCTTTGTCCGCATTTAAAAGCTTCAGCTGATTTAATACTTCGATTTCACTAACTTCGTCGATTTTTTAAAATGCTTAGATGGATGGACGAGCTCACAGACCACCTGGTGCTAAGTGGTTACTGGAGCCCATAGACATCTCCAGCGTAAATGCCACCACCCACCTTGAGAAATGAGTTCTAAGGTCTCAGTATAGTTACAACGTCTACCCCACCCTTCAAACCGAAACGCATTACTGTTTCACGGCAGAAATAGGCAGAGTAGGTAAATAACGGTTAAATCACAGCTTATGCAAGCAGTCTACAGCACGAAGATGCGACCATTTCGTGTTCAAACAAACTTTTAATTCTTCTCCTTGGCAGCTAATCTAGTAGCGGCATGAAGTTTCCTATTTTCAGGTGACAAGTGCTCAGTAACATAAACAGGCCGCTGTTCACCAGAAAGTTCAATATGGGAAGTGCTAAGTTTATTATCACTGTGCTTGTCTTTATTAAAGATTTTAACGGAAGCAAGGACGTCGTCTCGAGTACTACGAGAACAGTTTAACTTCCCTACAATATTTTTCGGACGATTCGAATTAGGATTTTGCTTAGTAACTCTGTGGAATGCCAGAATATCAGTTTCTTGTTAATTACAGGAGACCGTTTTTCCAATTTTTTTAACTATAGACATTAAGTTTTCATTGCGCCTTTCTGGAATCCCCTGAATTTCGACATTCGATTATCTTGCGAACTGCTCCATATACGCTATTAATTTATATATTAATACGTGAAGCAAAAACTTTTATCAATTTTTACGAAAATTGCGCGGACGGAGGAGTATGAAATTTTCCACACTTATAGATAATATAGAGAAGAAGTGCACAATGCTAATATTTTATTAAAATAATGCATAAAAGATACATTAAATCAATAAATAAAACATTACACACACTACATACCATGTATTTGACGCAACACGCATGCATACTATTTATTGTCAAACTTTTGTTCTTGACGTCTGTTGTCAAATTGAGATTAAATATTGTTTGTCTTTGTTATTATTTTTTATAGTGTAGTCTTGGCGAAATTTGTGATTATAGAAGTATAAAATACAATCATAATAGTGTAAAAACTTACAATTCCAATTAATTGTAGTCGAATTTCGACTACTGCGGGACCTCTAGTACGCATTTATTAGCTTCAGACGTATGTATGTTAGTATGTAACGGAATCTTTGAACATGATTTTGACCACCTTCAAAACGTCGGATTAACTCGAAATTTGGTATTCTTATTAAGGGCCGATGAAAATTCAATATTTAAAAAAATTGAAAAAATTGAAATTTCAACTAAAAAATGAAAAATAAATAATTGTTTAAAAAAACTAACAAAATACGCTTTTATAGAAAATCAAACAAAAAAATAGAAAATAAATTTGAATTAAAAATAGTGTAAGAAAAAAATATTTTATTGTAAAAAAGCGCATTTTTCATATTTTTTATTTTATTGATTTGACGCAAATGAGTCAATCTTGTTGATAAGTTTACGTTAAGCCATGCCGCTAGTTCCTGGGTAGTTTGGCTCGGATCGGCTTCCATCATCTCTTTCAATTCATTGTAATTCACATAGGCGGTCTTCCACGTGGTTCGTTCTTCAAATCAAAATTTCCATCACGAAAGCGTTTAAATAAAAATCGCACGGTGCGTTCATTAGCAGTCTCCTCTCCAACAACATTACAACATTGATATTGCGAGCTGTTTCTGCAGCGTTAGTTCCGCGTCGGAACTTCTAATCAAAAATGACTCGAATTTTCGAAGTATCCATCTTTTTAAGCTGAATAGAAACAGCAACTGAAAGTCGATAGTCAAATGTTGCACTTTTTAAAAAAAGAAGAACCTCATAGGTAGCATTTGAAAAAAGTTTCACTCAAAAAACTCAAACCATGAATGTCTATTCGAAGTACCTATTACAATAAAACGGCAATTTCATACTTTAACCTCTATTAAGTATGAATACCAGTCTTTAGTTTACAAGATCTTGTATCATTTGTTTTTGAATATTTATTTGTATGCTATATTATAATAACTATGAAAACACTTTTGATAGTCTTCTGATAGTAGCCTTATACACTTTCGATAACTTATTATGAATAGGGACTATTTTTATTCAACACAATAAACAAAGCCTTATGCTAAATGCATAGACACAGCCCACTGAGTTTCTCGTCGGATCTGCTCAGTAGGTCGCGTTTTCGATCCGGTGGTAGATTCTGCAAAGCGCTGGTCTTGCTAGAGCCAGTGTTAGCAACACTCCCGGCTTAAGCCCCGTGAGCTCACCTACACGTCAAGGAGAAGCTGAAATAGTCTCTCAAGGCTATCAGCATAGGTAGGAGAAAAAAAATTGCAAGATAATGTCCTTATTAAGATGCTGGTGGTAGGACCTCTTGTGAGTCCACGCGGGTAGGTACCACCACCCTGCTTATTTTTGCCGTGAAGCAGTAATGCGTTTCGGTTTGAAGGGTGGGGCAGCCGTTGTAACTATACTGAGATCTTAGAGCTTATATCTCAAGGTGGGTGGCGCATTTACGTTGTAAATGTTCACCCATCCAAGCCATAAAAAAAGTTCCCATTCCAAATAAATTTACTCAAACGAGCATACGGCCCGCCTGATGGTGAGTGGTTACCGTCGCCCATGGACTTTAGCAATGCCAGGGGCAGAGCCAAGCCGCTGCCTACAATTGCCCAAAACTGCGATCAATAATATGAAAGACAAACAATATTAATCTATTTTCAATTCGACCACAGACTTTAAACAATAATAAAAGTTTCCTAATTCACAGTAAACAAAGAGTATATTTTTATGTATGTGTTGTGTCAAATACATGGTAATGTGTGTAATGTATTCTTTATTGATTTAAAGTACTATTTTTAAAAAATATTAGCATTGTGCACTCCCTCTATATTATTATATTCTCTATAAGTGTGAGAAATTTCATACTCCTCCGTCCGCGCAATTTTCGTAAAAAGGGGCACAAAGTTTTTGCTTCACGTATTAATATATACTAGATTATGACCTTGTATATGGTTTTTTTTTGATAACGCCATCTTGTTGTGTCTTTAAAGCGGTTAGTTGCCCTCAATTAAGAAAAATAGTATTATTATTCGCCAATAGATGTCGGGAAGAGTTGATTATTGAAAACACGATTAAAGCAACATTTTCTGAAAGTAAATCGTAGCTAGATCGATTTATCGCCCCCGAAATCCCCTGTATACTAAATTTTATGAAAATCGTTGGAACCGTTTCCGAGATTCAAATTATATATATATATATATTAATATACAAGAATTGCTCGTTTAAAGGTGTAAGATAGATAAGTCGTTTATTCCAAAATCGCCAGACACCGTGAACTTACCTACGATGATCATATCAGCGTGGTCGGACACTGTCGGGAAGAGCGGCCGTTCCCCGGACACCTCGCAGCGGTACCGCCCGCCCGTCTCCAGGATGGCCGGGGCGAGGGTCACGTTCGCGCCATTCGTGCTCGACTTCTACAAAACGGAAGCCAATTTAGATTTCATTTCTACGATCACGTGAGATTTGTTACTTTCAATGATATTTTCAGTGATATTATGGTCAACCATTGAAATTGTATGTACATCCTTATTAAAATATTTTTAAGAAATCACTGTTACTAACTTTAATATGGATTAATATTATCTGAAATAAATGAATTTAATACTAATAATAATATGTTTATTTACTGGGTGTCCGGATAATGTTCTAGAAGTTAGGCTTCGAATGTGTTTCATTGATTTAATAATTTTGGTTTTGTGATAGATATTGGTTTCTGCTTAAGTTTATTTAATATAGTTTGATTTAAAATACACTCAACATGAAAATTATTTATAACTCTATAGGTTTTAGCAGATGAGGCATAGTTGGTCAAAACATTCCCAGTAACAAAAACAGGCACAGTTCTATTTTGCTTAGATTGTGAAGAATTAGTAATACTCGGTTACCACAGACGGTAGTCTAGTAATACTTCAAGCTGCATAGAATTTCAGGTATTGCTTTCTATCGAATCAAAAATAGAACACAATATAATCCTAAGTATTGTTAATACCAACGGCAACACAAAAATTACAATTATTTAAATCTTTCGAGTGACGCAAATTTTCTGTAAATAATAATAATGGTATCGCGATTATTACGTAAAAATACAGCCCTTGTTAGAATTTTGCCACAACTTAGCCGTTAATAAAAGAAAGTAGAAATGAGTCCCCACGCGAGAGCCAGTCTGTTTACACCTGCGCCTCTTCACAACGCAATATCCGGTCCAGTTTTATATTGTTTCCTCTCGAGAGACCTAAGCAAACTCCACTTTCAACGGGATTAATCCAATTAAACGTATCCTACTCAAAAACTTTCTCCTAATTATCAGTTTAACTCGAGTATTTGTACATTCGTCGAAGAATAAACAAGATCCCCACAGGAAAAACGAGAGTATTCGGTTCGGCAGTCACAGAAATTTTGGTAGCGACATCTGAGATCCACTATCGAGTTTAATCCTAAACCTGACAAAGCCGTTCGGATGACTTCTTCCACAAAATTCTAATAAGTAAATAAAAAAGCATGACTTTTGTCGGGGTGAAACAATAACGGATATCCAATTAATCTGCTTATTATTACAAATAAATAGTTCCAGTGTCTCTATAATAATATGTAATATCAATATATCAGTTTTTTACTAATCGGAATGCATAATTGCTTCGCCGCAAATAAACGCCTCGCGTTACACGTGAATCTAATCTGATGTCAGTCTTGTGGTGTCAGTGAACATAGGGGAATAGTAATATTAAGAAATGTAGTATAGCTGATCTCATTCTATGCCATTTACGACGAATTTCTTTCTTTCGTGCTTATAGTTGACTGTCGATCAATAAACTATACTGCGGTATAACTATTCAATATTATTTTGATACTTTCGCACAAAAATACTATAACAAGACTATATTATTATGAATTTGGTGGCAAAAACATCCTGATGTTGTGTGTGGGCTTAATAAAAACAAAATTGTTTTAGATCTAATCTCTACTCAGGCAGGGAAACTATATTTATAAATAATTCAACTCACTTCAACATCGACTCCCGGGAGAGGGAATTTTCTTCGTGGCTCTTGATCTCGTGGCACGTGTCTGAAGAATTCCTTTCCGTCTTTATACCATTTGACGGAATAAAGGATGTCGGCCGGGCCGAGTTGCCATCTACAGGAAAGTTCAGCTCGGGTGCCAAGTGGGACATGCGCCGGGACCCGTAGCTCTAATAGTTCGAGGCTTGTCACGCCGTAATCTGGAGACAATTCGGATCGTGACAAAAGACTTACTTTTAATTTTTAAAAGTTTTTTTTTTGGAACGAAGTTCCTGATGGGACGATGCGGAGGGGTACCCTAACCGGGAAAAAACGTTCGTAACGTAAGATTTTTATTAGTAATGTACACAGTGTATAACTTATCATTGTAATAACGTAAAAAAAAATAACATATTTTTTTATCATTCAATGACCACGATCTCAGAGCGTTCGTTTGCGCAATACACTAATTCTTATGCAAATAACCGTGAATGAATAAGTTCGCACGTTACCGAATGACCATGGGTTGTTGCGAAGCCTCCAGTTTTATTTTGTTTATACCTCGAATAGAACTTAAAATTAATAATTTTATAATAAGGAACTTCGTTCCTATCCGGTGTCCCATGACACTACACATCTTTTTTTATCGATAAACCTCAGATGAAATATGTTACAGACAATTTTATTTGATATTTAACTTTTCGTTGTACAAAGTTAATGAGTAAAGTCTAGTCATTATTATTTATTGGGTATTTGCTCAGTCAATAATAACTAGTACATTATTTATGTTTTATTACTCAAATAGCTTATGTACATCAAGAGACATTTGTATACATAAACGTAATATCAATTTTCTAAGCTGACATTTTCAATAAAACACACCACATCGAGTAAGTAGGTTCGTTCGAGTATTTTTATTTGGTTGTAGGTAGCGTGTTATGAAGGCAAAAATCCATTAAATGGCACGTCAAATAATTTCCCATGTGACGCTCGCTCGCGGCCCGTAAAAGAGCACTATTGCCCTCGCCCAGCGGTGGATAATATTACTTTACGACCCGCGAGGCGAAACTCAAATGTAAGTAAATTGGCGAATAAAGACAACGATCCCGCAAAACTTTTACACATCATTCCTATAAAACAAATAATCGTCAATACAGCTTACGGGAACTAGGGATTAATATTTTATACCGATATCATTGTAATGGAACTCGCTTTTGTCATATTATGCAAGAAATATTGGTCGTGTTTTTTTTTTTTTTTAATATAAACTAGAGATATATTTGATCTAATATTTGAAACATTTTTTACTAGTTTATGGAAGAAAAGCAGGGCTTTGGGGCACATGTTGGTAGCCCATGATTATTAATTAAATAAAGTAGACATAATTGAAAGTTTCCGACAGAAAAGTGAATGAGAATTTTTTTTATTTAAAACTAGTGGTCCCCCGGTAGTCGAAATTCGACTATAATTAATTGAAATTATAAGTTTGTATATACACTATTATGATTCTATTGTCAAAGACTATTATTATACTTCTTCACAGATTTCGCTAAGACTACACTTTAGATGAATATTAACAAAGCCAAACAATATTTAATCTATTCTCAATTTGACCACAGACTACAATATGTAAGAAAAGTTTGACAATAAACAAATAGTATACATGCGTGTGTGTGTCAAATACACGGTATGTAGTGTGTGTAATGTTTTCTTTATTGATTTAATGTATTTTTTATGCATAATTAAAAAAAATATTAACATTCTGCACTCCTTTTCTATATTCTTTATAAGTGGGGGACATTTCATACTACTCCGTCCGCGCATTTTTTTTAAAAAGGAGTCCAATTTTTTTGCTTCACGTATACAGACAACGTATTGACGCTTCAGCCAACGAAATTGTAAATTCTACTAATAAATCGTTTGTCTACATATAAGTCGGGTCGTGGGCCTCTACTGCGAGACTGTAATCTCAAGCACGCAGCCCCTCAATACAGCCAGACTGAGCACTTGTGTTAAGACGGAAATGGCGCTAAGTGATGTGTCAGCGACGGCACCAGCCGAGAGCTATCCTCAGATAGTGCACGTTGCAGACTATTCAATGATCCAACCTCGCAGTCAAACGATGTAAAAAAATTAAATATTTTCCACTTTTTTGTTCGACATGTTATGTACACTAACATGTGTTTTACGGTGTGTTAATATTGGCTTTAATTTTTTCTAATCGATTTGAGTTTTTTTAAATTAATACACAATAATGATTTCGTAATTTTGGAATGATAATAAGAACATTAATTTTATCTTTCGTAATATGTGAAATAATAATTTAATAAGAAAATTTTGCACTGTTTTTTAGTTTGGATTAAATTTGAAACCATATATTCCAAATGACAATAATACCACCAAACAATCATTTGTAAGATTTAATTCACAAAAACACACAAAACGGGTGGTTTTTACTGGTGGTAGGACCTCTTGTGAGTCCGCACGGGTAGGTACCACCACCCCGTCTATTTCTGCCGTGAAGCAGTAATGCGTTTCAGCTTGAAGGGTGGGGCAACCGTTGTAACTATACTGAGACCTTAGAACCATTTACGTTGTAGATGACTATGGCCTCCGGTAACCACTTAACACAAAAAATAGCCAACCCACTACTTTAGTTCGAAGTTTAAACTCGAGTATGACGTATAAATTAAAATTAAATTTAAAAAAGTCGCCTAGATCGGTCAAACAGTAAATATCACACAGTTCACTGTCTACAGCTACACCGCAACCGCTTCCGACGTTCACCGGTTTAACAAATTGACTACGTGGCGGCTACGCTCCGACATCGAACAAATTGCCGAGAAGCTGTTGAGCATATAATCACCGGATATTTGAGAAAAATAGTTATTTACCTGTTTGTTCGCTTTGATCTCACTTGGCGAACAATATTACATGGCCTGGGCATTGCATGGGCATGGGCATTCGAGTATTTGTTACAAAATTCATAAAAAAGTTAATTAAAAAAAGAAGGTCGTCCTGTATATAAACTCATAAGGGAATGCAGAAAGTAAAATCATAATCACACATTAAAATGACTTCGTATTTCCACTTCGTCACCGTTTTTGATTCGAGATGATATTTGATGTCCAATACATACCTTTGCGCGCTAATTAAATTTACTACAAAATCTGAAGGGTTGCGGAAAAAATATTTGCAGTTTTCAAGTAAAAAAAAATAAAGGGTAACAAATTCTTTCCAGGAATTCCCCCAATAATAATAAAATATCTTTTCTTCTCCATCGCTCCCTCATTGCTGAGGATCGTGACTCCGTTTTAGCTTGTCTACTGTCAGCCTCCATCGGTTCCGGTCAGTTGCCTGGTGTAGTGCAGCGCTAAGTGGTCCGCTGGTTTGCTCGGAGATCTGGTCGGACCAACGTTTGGGGCTCCGGCCTCTAGGACGTTTTCCTTCCACTTTCCCAGTGACCATCAGACGTTCNTGGCACTCGGGGACTGCCGCGGTAAAGCTATTGCAAAGCATTTTTTATCAACTTATGCAATTACAATTAGACAATAATAATTTAATATTAAAACAATAATAAAAATAAGACCACGCTATATTTATAAACATTAACAAAAGCAAAACATTAACTGTCCCCTTCACACTCATAAGCTAGACCGCGTGAGAGAGAGATGGGCAAACTTTTCATGATGCTCATGCAGTGCGACGTCACGCCGCGTGCTTATTCACAAACACTACACTAGCGCAACGTGTGAATGTGTTGAACGCGAGCTACATAGTACGCGTAGTGGGGTGTCAGGTTATTTTCGTTACGGAATTTCATGATTCAGTCGCCGCGCTCAAGGCGTGCGATAGAAGCTATGCAATAGCTTAAAAAAGGCTATCCTGTATATACTCACAAGGGAATGCAGAAATTAAAATCACAATCACACATTAAAATTCCGATTTCTCACAAAACAGACCTCATATTTCCACGTCGTCATCGTTTTTGATTCCAGATAACATTTCATGTTCTATAGCAGGTCTATCTAAACTACATACCTTTTCGGGCTAATTAAATTTACTACAAAAACTGTAGGGTTGCGGAAAAAATATTTTCAGTTTTCAAGTAAAAAAAATAAAGGGTAACAAATTCTTTCCGGGAATTCCCCCAATAATAATAAAAGATAGCTTCACTTTTAAATGATGTCGCGGGAATGGAATGTTACAAGAATAAAGATAAATTATGCCAAATATTAATTATATGTTTTGACAAAGAATTTAATTAACTAAAACTATTATCCGATTAAAACATGCGTCGCGGGCCGCTTGAAAATAAGCCGCGGGCCATTGTCTGAACAGCCCTATTTTAAAGCATAAAAAGTTAAAAACACGTGTACTGTTTCCTATGAAAGCCTTTTACTTAAACTAACATCATTATCAAATAACTAAAGTAGCAAAAAAACAAAAAAACCGCATCGCAAATGTTCCTAATTCATATGATGTTTATTTAATGTATTGTACGGTTTGTTTGTTTTTAGAAAACAGAATAATTCCATTTGTTTATGAGTCAATAAATTAAAAACGATCTTTGTTACCACGCGTTCCCCTGCTGCTATAAAGGTGCCATAAAACGCTTCGCAGACTTTCATAAGAAACGGCTCAACGTATTAATATGAAACGTATTTTTATGTGTTAATATCTAATGGACATTTTATCCCAATTAATGTCTTGATACTGTAATGTTTATTTAATAATTTAACAGACAGGTCTATGCTTTTTAGAAATGTTGAAGAGTTTTATAATCCTCAAATAGTTTAACCTACCAGATCATTTGGTACATTATTAACTAAAATTTCGTTGATACTTTAATGATAGCGAATATGAAATTTCATGAATTTTAGCTAATTACTGATCTTCTCTTATTATTTATATTTTCTTATTGGTGAAAAATTACATAGATTTCACAGTGCGCGTTGTCTAAAGTGGGTACCGAAGTCCATGCACCATGAAACAAGCCGGTGTGGTCTCGCAAACAAATCTAAATGATTTAATTCAAATTAGGTGTCATCGAACCGCAATTGTTGAATGTTCAAACATGTCATTTCTACCACCGGTTTAAAAAAATACGAAAACTCAGCACTTTTATGGCCATTCATTAAAGCGGTTAGGTTTTTTTTTATTTCTATTAACCATTTTTTTTAAATTCATTATAACAATTTTAGGTATTCAATAAATTACA